ATACATATGTACATAGATCTAGAGCACCGGCCACACAAATTCTATTTCGGATTGTTTCCACATTTCTATGCATCCAGTTGCGTGTCTAGATTCGGTTTTACTGCACTGCGTCCGGAAGGCCGTAAATGTAAAAACCCGAATGCTCGTAATAGAAATGGCAATGGTGCCACCTAAAACAGTTTTTCGGCTAGAGTAAATTAAGGCCGTGTTTTATTACTCATACGTATGCTGCCATATATAAGTTTGTTTTTTTCAGAAATTATTTACAAGCGCGCCAAGTGGTTTTCCTTTGAGCTTTAACTATCTGTTTTTCCGAGCACTTTTCAGCGCCGACTGCGGACTTCATAAAAATCACGGAGCATGTTTTCATTTCATGCTCTGATTTCTTTTTCGATTGGATTGTACGATTTTCAACTTTTGAAATAACAATATTAACTTAACTTTCAGCCATACAAATTGAAGTTCCACCGGCGATTGAATGGAAAACAAACAGTTCCATAGCGAATTTTTCGTGAATGGAATACGTGAAAAGCCCGCAAGCGTTTTCTTAGTAAAGGACTGTGTAAGGGGCAGATGAAAAGGCCTGCACATGTCAATGGACTGATCGGCAGTATTTTATTAACTTTTGTGGAACCCATGGGAAAAAGTCGAAGCTCTTTCGATTGGATCGTGACTAATTAAAGAGAGCCCATCTTTTTTTTTTCTGCTGAAACTACATAATAGCTAGTTCAACTAAAGTTGCATAAAGCTTTGATTATTTTTGGTGCTCTGGATTTTAATCCGATTTGGCGAATAGCTACAAAACGCTGGCCATAAATGGTGTTGCGGGGATTTCTTTTTTTTTTTTTTTTTTGTTAGTGTTGGAGGGAAAATTGTACAAATACCAGGCTTAAGCGGTGCTTCAGTCGCAGTGACCAAAGTCTAGATTTTCCTCTCTTTTTTTGTTGTTTTTTGGTCGTAGAGCTAACTCCAACTGCACCTTGACTCGCAAACCCAAGCCACAAACATATGGGCAGGATTTGAGAATAACATGACCGCAGCCACACACGCAGAGCAGAGCAGAGCAGAGCAGAGCAGAGCAGCGCAGCTGCAGCTGAAGTTAAGCTGCGGGGAGTCCCCTGCCTGGAATGGCTCTAATACTAATGTGTTTTATGGTGCCAAGTGTGGGTGAACTGTGTGTGGTTGGGTGAGTGCGGTGTGGTGTCTGCATGTGGCAAAAAAACAAAAACAAAAAAATAACACAAACTTTAATCATAATAATAACACACAACTTTTGTGTTAAATCCGAGCAGATAGTTACATACATGGCTGGCTATTATGTGTGCCAGTAAATATATGTATGTATAT